CCCCCCCGCCCAATAAAATATAAAATTTTCATAGGTTAAAAGAAAAGAACAAGAAAGTATAGCCGATTTATTTTATTTTCTTTTTCTTACTCCTGGAATCAAGTAGTTACTGCGGTGCTTTGCAGCTCAACTCCAGCTGATTTCCACAGTGATTCAAATTAATTTCTTTCCTTTAGTTAAGCACGTGGGTACCTCTTGGCAGAGGTGATCACAGTGTGTGATCGTAACCATGCCTTGCTTATTCTGCTCCTGGTATGTCGAGAGTCCCAGGAACCACTGTATTATTAGCATAGTGGATACGGAGAAGGAGTATTATCAACAAGCTTTGAATAACCTCTTCACAGGTAGGGAAGAAGAGAGTGCGCTAGCTTAACTTGTTCTCTGAAATTTCTGTTATGTCTTAATCACGCGTGTAATGTGGCCTTGATATTTGAGCATCCTAATATCACTGATACTAAGTTGATTTAAGTTGATAAAAAGTTCTTTTAATAAGTCTAGTGGGAACTAGGGAGGGTTTCATTTGTTTGTTTTCATGACTTTTCTTTTTTCTTCCTTTCTCTGAAGCTGGAAAATAAAACAACAGGGAAACTTCAAAAGCAGATTTGTCAAGTCGTTCTGGATCATTTTGAGAAGCAGTACACAACGGAACTGGGAGATACGTGGATCAGTGTCAGGTCTGTTTTGGAGAGATGGGAGAGCTTTTGTTATTTTTTTAAGTGCTTCATAAAATAATTTTGAAGAGACTCATGGACTGTAACAACTGTTTCAGTTTATTTTCACTTTAGAACTGGCATAAAAGTGTGACATAACAGAAGACTAAAACTTAGACTTTTTTATTTTTTTCATTGACATTATTCTTCAGTCACTTGTTAAAGAATTAGGAAAAATAGAGAACATCTTGTTTCAGAAGTGTTTTAAATGCAGTAATTAGGGAAAATGGTGGCTTATTTTCCTATTAAAATTATTTTCCTGCATACTTTTATTAATTGTATCTAGTCAAAATGATTCCTTTTTGATCGTACCAGAATCATCCAATGGTGAGATTGCTACCCGCATGTAAGAAAAGACTTTCTACGCTATGGAAAGCTCATTTTATTTGCCAAGTTATTAAATAGCTTTTTCTTTTTTCCGTCCAGAGATGTACTCACATACCCGTTGTGCTGGCAGTACGCTGTCCTGCTTAACAAGTTCGGCCAGTCCACTGAACTGGAGAACATCTTGCGTGTGAAGGGATATCATCCTGCCTTTCAAGGACCTTTGCCCTATCTTCCGGCATCATTGAAGTGTTACATTAGGAGAACTCCTGGGAGATTCCCTGCACAAAAACACCAGGCTGGAAAACTGAAAGACTATTATCTGCTGAATGCTGCTTCGCTGTTGCCAGTGCTGGCATTAGAAGTGAAAGATGGGGAAGATGTTTTGGATCTCTGTGCTGCACCAGGGGGTAAATCAGTAGCTATGCTGCAGTGTGCCTATCCAGGTAATATATCGAGGTGCTTTTAGAAGCTGATCCCTGACTCTGTGCCTGTGCCCGGGCTATTTCAGTTGTGCCTGTTTTCTGTAAAAGGTTTAGATTTGGGGCAAAAAAACCCCAAACAACAATTTATATTCCAAGTAGTTCCATGCTGGTTAGTAAGATTTTAATGAAGTCTCTT